ATACTAACAACACATAAATAGGAAACATAATCATGAATCATATTATGATGTAATTATAATAGCTTTAATCATACATTGCTTCTATAAATCATCGGCGTCACGCAAGTGTTTAATCGTAATTGTTTCCTTCACAAAATATAAAATTAATGGAATATACAGGTGTCTTGTGACACTTCACTTAAGAAAATAAAGTAAAACGAAAATTACTGAATTGATGGTAATTACGATAAAAAAAACAAAAGACTAACTTAATGAACATTGTATAAAACGTCCTACAAATTAATAGAAAAGAAACTTAAAATGTCGCAATATAGTATTGGGACATTTTAAGTTTCTTTTCTGTCGTCCTGGCTTTTAAGGGTTTGCAAAATTTTTACTTTAACTAAACAGCTACTAAGCAACTAGTTATTGTACGTGTATACAAACCTGACCCCTCAAACTTAAAGCCGTAGGAAAAGTAGTAAAATCCAACTAATATTTAACTGTATGAGGCAACTTCAGTGTTGATATATTATCCGACACACACACCGACTAGCCATCACATAGTCCTTACCTCAATCATATCGAGCATGCTTGGAATTAATTCAGACGGTGTGTCAAGCTAAGGAGCTCACCACCAATCACATCTTCTAAGTTTATATCAGCTTTGATAGAGTAGTGGAATAATACACCCGAATATACCTGATTTACAGCGTGTCCAATACCATCATGTCAGTATCCACGGCACACTAGGGCAATAAAAAAATGCTAAGAAGTGAATTAACAAAGATTTAAGTTTAGTTCTTTGCACAAAACAACTCATTTTTTCTACAACTTTCTAAATAAATTGCTTTAAGCACTAGATCCTTAATTCCCAAAGTGGTCCAGGTGGACCCCCAGTGGTCAACGGGAGACTCGACGTTGGTTTACGTTGGTGCGACAAAAGTTGGGGGTTCCCAATTTCTAAGGACCCCGCTCCTCGAAAATTTATCTGCAATCGATAGTGAAGAACTAAAATGTTGGTTTGTCTTTACCTATCAATGTAAGCAGATATATTTTAAGAAGCTCAGCGACTGTTACTTGTAAAAACTTGCATATACCATATTCAGTACAAGGTGTCGATACTTGCAAAGCACGGCCGCTGCTGCCACCGCCGTGCGGACGCTTGTTCAAACGTGCAAGGGGACGAAATACGACTTGTAGTGTGTGTGCTTGCAATCTCGTTGCATTTGTTTCCGGAATTTCGAAAACCAAAGTAAAGTAAAGTTACTCGATATTAGTATTTGTGAGTGTCGGAAAAAGTAAGTATTTACCTGTACATTTGCTATACATACTTTTATTTTATGTTGTAAAAAGTATATTTGTAATGTTTGCGTAAGGTACGTATTAAAAATTAAATACTGAACAAAGTCATTTTAAGATATCTCTATAAAAGAACAGAAATCCGAGAAAGGTTGAACTTTTTATCCCTACCTTATTAGTATTTTTTTACCCGACCTTGTGGTGGTTCACTAAAGGAGGCATATATTATGATTGCCCTGCATGGTTGTGAATATTTTAGGTTCCTAATACTAAATGACTTAATTAAATATATTTTCATAAATTGTACGCGTCTTTACATACCAATCCTTACGTATCAAAATAAAATTATAAAAAAAAACATTATATTACATTAAAATCTGTTCAGCCGTATTCATAAAACTTTATTATGGATAAAGATCCATAATAGAGTTTTATGAAACGATTTATTGCTTTTAATAATTAGAATCAGTTTGGCGTCGGTACTTTGTTTATTTCATTGCAAAAATTAATTAGGTAAACCTATTCTGTTAATATAGCCATATCTGGTCCATGTGGTGACGGATTGAGAATACAGAATACTACGCAGAACACCAGCACTGCAGAGAGAAGACAAACTTGACACAAACCCTATACCAACCCGTCAGTCCAGCGTGGTATAGTAGCCCAAAACCTCCTTTCTAAGGAAAGGCTTATGTCCAGCAATGGACTGTTAAAGGCTTTTGATGATGAGCCATATCTTGTCGAGTAAGACCGCCTTATGATTACTGATATGAAACATGGCTGAATCTAAGAAGAAATATCGACAGTTTAAGGTTGATCATTTAAAATTTGTTTTTCTTCCATTAAAAGGCAGACAAAAATTATAATAATAAGCCCCCTGAAGTTCCAACCATACGTCCGAATCGACCATCAGATTCACGTGGGGGGTAAACATGTGACATAAAACTACAGGCACGTCTAACATGGTTCTTAAAACCCATTAAACATGGAGACGCGCTTAAAAAGTAAACATACAAGGCCGCTGCCCGGGGGTGATCGCGCACCTAGAGCTGACTCCCTGTATACTCCATCAGAAGTATCTACTAGAACTCCAACACCTGTAATCACACCTGCCTTAGATGTTGAGCAGGGGGTGAATACCTTTTTTACCTGCGTCCACTAAGACTGGTAAACCACGTGTTGGTACGCATGTGATAGATAGAAGATGTAAACATATTCATCATGTGTACCTACTACCGCATCACTAAATTAGAAACAGTTATGACCAAATATAGAAAATTATTACTTGAAAACTATTAAATTGGCTCTCCTGGATGTTAACAGGTGGAAGCAGTCCAGCGTGCTTAAACGACGGCGATGGACTGTCCATGACTCGGAAGAGTACAGTATGTTCGGCAACACGACCGCCTTATATAATGTCAATTTTGGTAGCCAGCTTCAAGACGTGTGAACCAAGCACCTTGCGATCCAGTATATACCTCTTCGTGACATCCGTTTTTTTATGAGGCCATGGCATCACTCTGGCTCATGGCACACGAAAAACAATGTCAATAATTTGGCAACGAGTTAATGAATTTTAAATACAGAAATATATTTTAATTTGTACATTTTTACTAAATAAAAGTGACTTCACTTGGCATCAAAATTAAATTTATGTTGGTAAATTTATGTTGTTCTGATAAGATGTATCACTGTTAAGTTTTGTCAGAATGTGCCTAGTAGGTTTGGGTGAAAGACAAACAAACATACAGCCACATTACTACTCATGTATCCTTACAAATACTCAATTTTAAAATATTAGTGGCACATTTTTTGACTAACGGCGATTAGATTAAATGATTAACCGTGTGGTGACAGAATGAGAATACAGAGTGTCACCCTATATATCCCTCGGGTGTCATAAGAGCCGACTAAGGGAAAAAAAACTACGCAGAACAAGAGCACTGCAGAGAGAAGGAAAACTTGATACAAACCCTATACCAACGCGTCTGGCCAGCGTGGTGTAGTAGGCCAAAACCTCCTTCCTGAGGAGAGGCTTATGTCCAGCAGTGGACTGTTAAAGGCTGTTGATGTGAAATATGGGCAGTCGTTGTTGCGTGTCATAGTCACAAAAATAAATAAACAAAGTATTCAGGATGTTGTATAAGCTAACTAAATTATTTAGAAGGATAATTAAAATATTTTAGTAAAATATATAATTACAAACTACACTGAATGTATGTGTGTATATATACAAAATATACTATGATAGAAAACGATATAGAGTTCAAAACAGAATCAAACTAATTATATTTTATTTAAAAAAGTAATGAAAATCTACTACATTAGTTTCGTTGTTCTGTGGAAGGGCGCGCGCGTGTTGATTTGACTTGCCGCCACCGCATCATATCTTGGACGCGAAACAAAGCAGAACACTGTGGGGTGGCAGTATCAAATCATGCGCTGCGATTAGGATCAGGTGATCGTTGCATCTTTAGCAATGAACATCTATCGATCAGTCAGCTAGCCAGTAATTTTTTTCATTTATCGGTTAAAACAAAACCACACGGTGTTCCTTCACGTGTGAGTCTAGTGCAAGAGACTCAGGTATACCCTAGGAAGGACGTCGATAAAACAAACCTAAATTTGGACATTTAAGTAAACTAAGTTGACTGGCCGACTGCTTTTTGTTTTTCATATTTTTAAGTTAGTCTTTCTACTATTAGACCAGATTTATATTTTTATTTACATTATACGTTATATTTAATAAAAAACAGAATAATTATTTCATACGTGTATTATCTATAGCAAATATCTACTGTACGTGGGACAATTTTAAACCATTCAACACGAAACACACACACATGGACTCTTCAAATCTGCATGCGTAAAACTTTTTAGGTAACATTATAAGTCAAACCTTGTCAAAAGTCTTTCTAAAATCTATACATCTTGACAGCATTGATATAAATTATAAAAGACTCAGTGAACAAGAATGCGCTAAGTTGTTTTTTTCTCCCGGTCCTCCAAGCCCGGAAACCAGGCACCGCCTATGACTCATTCACTGGAGGTCGCTGAACGCCCTCCGTATTACACAAGAGGTGTGAAAGGTAAGGCCATCTGTCAAGAAACAGGCAGGCGTCGCGATGGTGCAATGTGCTCTTGAGGGCGCGGATGCTTTAGAAGAAAGGGGACACCGGACACCGGTCCTCACTCACGATGTCTATAAGCCGTAGATTGCCGTGATCCGTCAGGGTACTAGGAGTACTTCCTTTTCGGGTTGCACCTGGTTACCCGGCTACTGGTATCCTAAACGGCGTGCGGTTTTTGATTTGACACCGGTTCTTAAAAAGGGCACAAATAAACGGACGGGTCGCCTGATTGTGAGGACTAGTGTCACCCAAGGACAAGGTCATAAGTGCGATGCCGCCGTTTGAATGGCCCCCAACCCACAGAACTCTCGGACATCGGACCGTTTGTGCTAAATCATGGTTCTCCTACGGTAAGAATATGCAATGTTTTAGAGTAAGAACTTAGATTTAGTACACGAATGATGATGATGATATTACACGAAGCTTAACGAGCTTAGAAGAACAAGAAAGTGTATAGATTGTACATAATATTTTACAACTATATTCATAATATTCTTTAACTATATTTTATGTATCATAACATAACCTGAAGCTTTTGAATTACATTAGTTATCGATAATTTTTCAGAATCTAAATTGCATCTCGGAACTAATTTTGCGTATTATTAAATTCATTTTCCTCCATGGGTTGAATTTGTTCACTGAAACAATATACTCTAAGCAAACACCTGTAAGTTTGATGAACATTTATAGCTTCACAAAACTATCATATTATAGATTATTACGTGGATTCTAAACATATTAATAAAAACAAAATGTTGCACAGCTTTGATAATCAGCGTTTTATTACAGCAACTTTTTTATTTCAATATGTTGGATTAAAAAAAAGTCAGAGAACTTTTCTAAAAAAATAAAAAGTAAAGAAATAGAAACAAAGTATTAAAACTTTGACAGGACCTCTTTACCAGGTAATCTTGACATTAAAAAACTTAACGCGCTTGCCTTGCTCCGGAAATTAACTCCAGCAGAAAAGTGATTAAAGAAATCATGTATCCAGCAAAAAGCATTATGTAGAGAACGTACATATTACTTATATTTATTGGCATGGGGGGGCTTCGACTGTACTGACACTTTAAGTTTTCTAAGTGCAAAATTTCGTTAAAATATTTTTTTATTAAACCTGCGGATACCATACGTAACATAAATTTGTTAAAAGGATCAATTACAAGTGAACGGCGACGAAAAAACAACGTTCGGAATTCTAAAATATAGTCGTCTAACTTGTATACTTTCTTATTGCACTGATCGTCGATTATTTTTGAACTGTGCGCCTGGACAAAAGCGGTCGAAATAATTGTGTAAAGTGATTTTGTCTTGTCGTTCTTCACTTCTAATAAACAATTTAATATACTGTCACATTGCTTAACCCCAGGAACGTTAAATGCAAATTTCGAGTACAAAATAAGAGTACATTCTTCTAGTTCGTTAACTTTTTTGGGCTCGTAGCCTCGATTAGGTTTAGTGATTGAGCTATAAATTTGTCCATGAATCATATAAGGCAACAATAGCGCAAACCATAGTAGATTGGAAAATAATAATTTCTGTGGTAGTTTTGGATGAATGTTTTTTACACTGGTCTTATTCAGGATATATCCCAGTACAAGTAGAATATCGCGGGAAACATCTTTTTCTTGCGTTGGAAAAATTTTCAGTAAGTTGGTTATTACACACATAATTATAAAAACAATGAAAACTGTAATTGATAACCATGAATTTGTAACGAATTCCCAGGGGTGCAAATTTTCAGCACGAGCCATTAAATATATTGCATGATCGGTTATAAATGGATACGCTTGTGACAAAAGTTCATTGCCAGTGGTCGTTATAAAACCTCCAACTGCTCCTTCAAATTTGTTATCCTGTACGCTTTTCAGCATACTTTTAATAGAAATCGGTACTATAACTCCATGTGCATCAGTTTCTTCCATTACTGTATGAAGTTCAATCTTGACATTTTTATATTTTTCAAAATCTCTTAGAACACGTTGTTCAATTCCTTCTCTATTTGTATCATCAAAATTGGTAAAAGGCCACATGTTATACGTGATGAATTTAAATCGACAATTACGAATACTTTGTTGTCTTCTTAGAACCGGAATTTTCTTTTCAGTTAGATGTTCAGAACAAGATGATACTAATGCCCACTTGCTGGATGTATGGCAATAATTATTTGATGCAACATTTAATTTATAAACAGCATAAATCTTCCTCTTGGGTGTAATGAAAAATACGTCATCCACATTATGTTCAGAAAACCAATTTGTAAGATTAAGTACATCGCGGTCCTTCAAATTTTTGAGTATTATAAGAAATCTAGCTTTAGGATTCCACTGTCTATCATTAACAACTTGACTTAATCCATCGCTTAGTACTTGGAGATTTTCGCTTTCAATGATATAAGCATTGTTATAAATTCTGTAATAATCAAATGAAAATGTTCTCGAAATAAAACGTAGACCTCCGAGTTTATGTAATGACGATATTATTAAATCGTCCTCTACATTCACGAGAGTAAAATCCAAAAGAGACATGTTATTACTTCCTTCCCTCACAATATCTACAACACAGTTACTGAGTGTTTCATCTGTAGCACCATTAATAAAACTTGTGGTGGCCACAGAAGTAAATAAACAGAGAACGAATGTTTTGATAATGGGTTTAGTGTTTTTTTCCATTTTGATAACTTCTTACCAAATCTTACAGTGTACTGAGTTTAACCACAAATAAATAGGAACCCAAGTCATTCATCATGTTACAATGTCATCAAAATGTTCTCACATGCCTTCTATAATTCATCGGCAACACGCAATTGTCCAATTGCAATTATTTCTTTCATAGAAATTATGATTAATCTAAAAAATATTTTTCTGTCATAAATCAGGGTAGAAAAGTAAAATGAAGTTAATGGTAATGATTATGTGCCGCCGACACCTACCCGTCAATGGCGAACTTTGCTATTGATTTCTGTTATGGGTGCGAATATAACTAGAACTTGAAAATTTTATGCCACGACACACTGTATAGATGAACAGATGGATCATAGTTTAATTATATACAGGCTTGGGTCGCGTTGTTTAAAGACGTATTATTCAGTGTAGCGCAGCATGGTAACCATTCGCTACTATTTCCTCCACGCCATGTCCTCCACGCCAAGCATCGCAATTCATCTCAAATATCTACGAAAATCATAGTTAAAATAATATTTAATTATGTATACTACAGTTCACCTGGCCGACCGTTTCCATCACCAGTATAACTGTATCTCTGCTACCCGTGTACCCGAGTACCCGTGTTAAAAAGGAAAAAAATCTTGTCGATACATGAGATTATTGAAATAAATTAATAAAGAACAACTCAAAAATGCTGTGTTAAATGTATGTAATCCTTAATGGGAATAACTAAAACTCTTGGTACAAAAAGATACAAAAATTGCATTGCTTAGCATAATTTTATTAAATAGCAAGAACCTATCTTAATACTCGTATTAGCTCTTTGACTATGAAGTTAGAGATTTGTATGAAATTTTTATTGATTGATTTTAGCCGATTACTGGCCCAAATTATCTGTACAATTTTGCCATTTTGATGGCACTTTGTTAATCTCTTTAAGTTATCGAAAGCGTTGTGTACTGCCTCTCTGGTGTTGATTTTGTTCCCACTTAAAAAATCTCTAAATTTTGAAAAAAAGTGGAGCACGGTCTGGTGAGAGTGGTGGGTAATGGACAGCTTTCAGCCGTAATTCTTATACCTTTGCGATGGTCTGTCATAAAGTGTGAGCTCGCCCGTTATCGTGGAGAAGCAATGGGTAAGAGCGACCGACCAGTCGTGGTAGTTGAATTGCGAGCTTCTCTGGATCACTGCAAAGTAATAAGGCCTGTAGGCAATATTGAAAATCAGCCTAACGATACTTTTACCGATACCAGTCTGGAGTTGAAACACACAGAGATTGAAGAAGAAATATCATCCTTTTGAACTGCAATCCCTTTTCACTTTAAAAACAGGTGAACATTATGGTGTACTGAAGCCTTAGAGACTATCATCAATACATCGTCTGACTTGGTTGAATCCGTAGAAATGAAGATCGACTCCCTTAAGCATAATATTGAGATTACTAACGTACCGCAGAGTGGTATACATGAATACTTTTCAGAAATAAATTGAAAGCCTTTAACTTTGTGCAAAATTAAACATTTCTGTATAACTATTTCATTATCAATGTACACATGAGCCAAACCGGTTTAAAATCCATCAATATATCTTTCTATGCCACCTCTACGACGGCTATGATTAGTAAATGCCTTATTTTATCGTGAACCGTTCAATGAAAAGGCAAACACCTCAGAAATTGATTAAGTACATTAATGAATTGGTACTGATATTACATATTATTATGTCAGTGCGTTCATTCAGTTCTTTAACGTGTTTTGGCTTGTTTCTATACAGGTATTTGCGTTTCGTAGTCGTTATCTTATGCTGCTGAGCTGATGATGGAAGGGTCCTTGACCTTTAAGAGTTTAAGGGTAACTCTTTCAATAATATAATCATGTAGAAACCTTGTTTTGATCTTTCAAGATATTGGTTTGGTGTTTGTGTTGGGTTATAAAGATATGTGCGAAAGTAATAAACGAGATTACAAAATGTTTCTTTAAATAAGTTCACCGAGATCAAACAAAAAAGTAGGTGTCTAGCACATTTAATATATTATTTAAATAAATAAATAACAGATTTAGACAATAATTGTGACATTATAATAGTGTAAATAGAAAATTATAAATTGTAATTGGTTATTAAAATAGTTTATCGTATTTATAGTAATTAAGATCACTGTTTATAGATAAGTGAATGTTTAGTTAAGTTGATTTTTGTACAGGAATTGTAATATTAATTTGAAATACAGGTTTGAGTAGGAAATACCAATATAAAAATATGTAAATACCAATTATTCCTTGGGAACACCATGATTCCTTCACGGCCCGGGGTCCGGGGTCCATCGGCCAGTAACTAATAACGACCGGTGGTATCCGAGGGGATTTCCGCACGGACAAAATGCGACATAGAATGACGCATTTGTAAGTAAAGAAAGAAGTATTTTTAAGTTAAAAAGCGGCCGAATGCGAGTCGGACTCGCCCATGAAGGGTTCCGTAGCAGCAAGTAACATAATATAAAAGTTCTTGAAATGCGTTGTAACTTTGATTGAAATAATAGTGTATTTTTTAAAATTAAGTTATTGATTTATGACGTCTTAAAAAAAATCTACTTACTAGATTTCGTTCAAACCAATTTTAGGTGAAAGTTTGCATGGTAATGTACATCATATATTATTTTTAGTTTTATCATTCTCCTATTTTAGAAGTTACAGGGAGGGAGGACACATTTTACCACTTTGGAAGTGTCTCTCGCGCAAACTACTCAGTTTAGGAAAAAATGATATTAATAACCTTAATATCATTTTCGAAGACCTATCCATAGATACCCACGTTTGATGAAAAAAAAATTCGAGTTTCAGTTTTAAGTATATATATGTATATATAGTACCCCCAAAATTTATTGCTTTTTCTATTTTTGTGTGAAAATCTTCATGCGGTTCACAGAATACATCTAGCTACCAAGTTTCAACAGTGACATACGGACGGATAGACAGACAGACATGATGAATCCATATGGGTTCCATTTTTTGCCATTTGGCTACGGAACCGAAAAAGCCGAAAAAATGACTATGGTAAGAAATTAAAATCACGCAAGTTACAAATTAACACTTTTTTTTTATCTATATGCTGTCCAATATTCTGCCATCGAGCTTTTTTTACTATCATGATATACCCATCGTGTGTAGATGTACTTATGTCTTTTTTTTTTGTTGACGGGGTGGAAAATCCCTTCGGATCTCCTGCTCCTCGGGGACTAAGGATCTAACTTTAACAATGATTCAAAGTAACCTAAGAACTTCTTTTTGTTTACATTTCCCCTGTTACGAACAAAAATGACTAATGAAGTATTTACATTGTGGTCTGATTTGGAATTTAAAACTTTTTCCATAATATGATTAAAAGATGAGTGAGGCATGCAATAATTGCTGAATGAATGTCCCAAGTGTGTATTTAACAATAAGGACCCATGCCCTTTCCAATTTTATCACTAAACATTGCCATGTTATCATTTTTGTACAATTTGTTTGTTTGTAAATACAGCTTTTTTCCTTTAATTCGATGCATTAACGTCAGCTTTTTAAAAGGTTCTATTTACAATAGCTTTAGACCGATCATTAATCATGTAAGGGACATCACCTTTATTTAATCATGGTATTAAATCTCCTTTGTTTAAAAATATCATCAACAGCCTTTACTAGCCCACTGCTGGACATAGGCCTCTCCTTGGAAAGGAGGTTTTTGCCTACTATTGAATAGAAGGCAAAAAATAATATACCACGAAATATAAGACAATAAATGTTATACCTTTATGTGCAATAATTATACTGTAATAAATTGCAGGTATACAAAGGTTGACATGTTTACTACCACGGCGTTAAAAAAACTAAAGGTTCTTCTACACGGCGCAAGTATCTGGAGCGGGCAAAGACGCAGTAGCATGCACGTCCACGAGTTAGTTGTAAGTTGGGTTGATATAATGTGCATGCTGCGCGAGTTACAGGCTCAAGTCGCTAGATCTGCATAGTCTTTTTCGTCGAAGTCGAAGCAAATAACTCATCTAAAAGGAAACTTTTTTGATCTGAACGATACAAACCTTTGGGTGGCAATTAAAAAAGAATGCGTAATAAATTAAAATGTATTTTGTATTAAGTATACTTTATTTATTACTACAATAACATTGCAACCTGGTGATTCCACCAATAAGTTTAGTGTATTTATAGGTTATTAAGACTAAACACAAATAAAATGTTGTAATAAGCGCATTATCATTGCTTTAAGGTTTTTAAACAAGTTTTCAACAAATAATTAATATTTTTTCAGAAAAAATTAATATGCTTTCCTTTTTGCCATAATTAACTCAAGTAGGAAAATAATAAAAGAAATCATGTAACCAATAAAAAGTATTACGTAGAAAACGTACATATGGTTCATATTTATTGGCATTGGATTTCTTTCATGAAACTGACACTTTAAGTCCTCTGAGTATGCAATGTCCTTGATATATTTGTTTATTAAACCCGCGGACGCTATCCGTAATATAAACTTGTTATAATGATCCAGTATAAATGAACCGCGACGTAAAAAAATCGTTGGCAAGTCTAAAAAAGCATTGCCTAAGTTGTACACTTTCTTATTGCAGTAATCATCAGTTACTTGAGAACCATATGCCAAAAATAATGTGTGCGACATCACTGTAAAAAGTGAATTTTTTTTTATCATTCTTGACTTTTAATAAACAATTTAATATAGTATCGCAGGTATTCTTAATAAAAGGGTCTTTATAAGCAAATTCTGAGTTCAAAATAAACGTATAATCCTTTAGTTCCTTATAATTTTTTTGGCTGGAAGCCTCGAGCTGGTTTTAGTCACTGAGCTATAAATGGCTGCATTAATCGCATAGGGGCAATAATAACGCTAGTAACATCAGGCAAAAAAAAAATAATTCTATGGTGGTAATTTTGGATTAATATACTTTACACCAGTCTTATTCAGGATATATCCCAGGACTAGAAGAATATCGCGGGTAA